CCACTTCTTGTCTTCAGTAGTGGTGCTGATTAAAAAGGCAGAGGAAGTGTGAGGATTATGGGAGAGAAAAGTGATCACTCCTACAGTGACCCCTGGAGCAACAGCACCATGGAGGTCACGCCATAGTTCTGTTTGTGGCGCTTCTTGGTTTCTTCATCTAAGAACACAAGAGTTTTGATGATATGATCTCCAAGGACTACTCCAGCTTTAAATATCTAAGGTCAAACATTTCACCCTTCTGAAACTTTTTGCTGTGTTATGTCTTAGAAGAATCAGATAGATATGGTTAGGCTTCCATAAAGAATGACAGACCTCTTGAAATCCAATTTAATTTGGCAAAATATATTAACTTTATTTTAGGTATATTCTGGAAAGGAAGGAGAGAAGTGAAGCAAAAGAAGAAGAAAAAATCAGTGTTCTACTCAGTGAGATTTTTCAGGAACTAGGTGACAATTAACCAGATGTTTAAAGATCCATTTTGGGTTGTGAGATATACTTGCATTTTATAGTGACTAATTTTTTTTTCTCCCCAGAAACAGTCAAATTCCCTGCCTTGGTCTCAGTTTTTTTTTTTTAAGATTTTTATTTATTTTATTTGAGAGTTAGAGTTATAGACAGTGAGAGGGAGAGACGGAGAGAAAGGTCCTCCCTCTCCTGGTTCACTCCCCAAACGGCCGCAGCAGCCAGAGCAGAGCTGATCCAAAGCCAGGAGCCAGGAGCCTCCTCTGGGTTTCCCATGCAGGTGCAGGGGCCCAAGGACCTAGGCCATCTTTCCACTGCTTTCCCATGACAGTGCAGAGAGCTGGACTGGAAGAGGAGCAGCCGGGACCAGAACCATCATATAGTGGCTAATTTTTAAAGGGAGAAGTAAGTTACAGAGTGTAACGAGGACCTTTTGATAATTTATTGCTTTATTGACAAAAGAGTCTTGCAAGGAGCATGAAAACAAAATAACATTGTCCTTTATTTTAAATACAGGAATTAAATAAAATGTCCCTGAATTCATAGGATATCAAAAATGTAATTTAAATAAATTGGTTTAGGTTTGATTTTAGAAATATGAGAGTGTCTCTTACTATGATTACCAGGTTTTGATGACTCCAGCTTACTCTGGTGTAGGAAATGTCAAACTCTCCTCCTGAAGATTCTATATCTGAGAATGTTTAAACAAACCAACAATTGGCAGAATAACAGGAGAAAAATCATAGAAATTGGGGCCAGTGCTGTGGCGTAGTGAGTTAAAGCCCTGGCCTGCAGCGCAGGCATCTCATATGGGTGCCGGTTCAAGCCCCGGCTGCTCCACTTCAGATCCAGCTCTCCCTGCTAATGTGCCTGGGAAAGCAGCAGAGGATGGCCCAAGTGCTTGGGCCCCTGCACCCACGTGTGAGACCTGGGAGAAGTGCCTGGATCCTGGCTTCGGATCAGCACACTTCCAGCCGTTTGGGGAGTGAACCAGTGGATGAAAGACCTCTTTCTCTCTCTGTCTCTGCCTCTCTCTCTAACTCTGTCTTTCAAACAAATTAAAAAAAAACTTTAAAAATCATATACATTATTAATTGTTCATAAGCATGGGAGCTGTACAAAATATGAAATTCCAAGAAGGGTCAGATGGTCGAGACTTAAATACTCTCTTCATACGGGAGAGGGAAATGGGGGATGATGGTACTTTAAGTAGAGAGGAAATGCATTATTTTTAAAGGAGAGACTGAGCCCAGAGAACCAGCAATGGCCTGGAACAGAGTGTTTCTCTCTGCGATAGGAGCTTAGTCTTCCTTAAGGAAATTCCAGCAAGAAGATGTGAAGACTGTGTTTGTCCTTGGCAGGCTGGTCTTCAGGTAGATAGAGGGACTCAGGGAAAGCCCTTCCATGTATTTGCTGCTCTTTTACAGGTACTCAGTTTGAAGTTCAAGGTGGCATATGCGGGGGTCACATTTGCAGACCCCACAGTAGGGAGCTCCAATCAAGGAAGTGTGCATTCTATCACCTGTTACTACTGTTGGAAACAAGGGGCTACACACACCCCACAGAGTGCTCTTACCACACTCCTTTGCTGGACTGTCTTCTGGGTTTGCCTGCTTAGAACCACTGCACTCATGCTGCTTGAGCCCTGATCCTTGCCTAAGCTCTCCGGTCCAGTTCAACGTATGTGGCTTATGCTCACATTCCAGCACTTTACATTTTATCTCTAAGTGAGTCCAGGCAACACTCCTGAGAGGCAGGACTGAGATGTACAGAAATTACACAACTGGCCTTACGACTGAGCAGAGTGACATTCCAGCATGCGGACGAAGATCCAAGGCTCAAGGTCATTACCTTAGAGTTGAATGACCCCTTAAAATCTATCAACCATATTGGATGTTTCTTGAAATCTGCTGCCTTGTATCGCCATTCATAAAACACATAGCCATGGAGCACATATTATGTCTAGGTCACGTTACTAAGCACTATGGGAGACAACATTAACTCAAAGAGCCTCAAACCTTGTAACATGAAGAGTTTTTCTAGAGAAGATGTGCTTGTGATTTGAGAGGCAACCATACTATCATTGAGTTGGTTTTCTGTAGAAACCAAAAATTTTAAAAGAAGATGAATATTTTGATAAATGTTCCCTTAGATTATTTCCTACTACCAAATATGTCTTACTATCAAATAATAAACAGCTAAAAAAATTCTATCATCAAAAAATACACATGAAATCAAAGAATGTCCACAAAAAAGGTGAGCCAAGGCATGCATGTGCGATTTAAAGTGTTTGCAGGATTCTGAAATATATCACGGTTTCTATTGGGAAGCATGAAAAAGAATAACTGAATTAAAATTTTTGGTCAAAAACATTTGCTTAGGGAAGGCAGGGTGAAACACTTGCTTGTAACTCTAGCACTTAGCACAAGCCTACATTTGCACAATTGTCAATGATCTTAACCACTTTTCTCAATGATCTTAACCACTTTTCTGCAGGACTGGCAGTGTTGGCTCTCATTTGCATTTGTTTGCATGCCCTCCATCAACCCCTGTCAGGAAAGAGCCAGTCTCGGTGAGCCAAAGAGCCAGGAACTGGCTGGAAGCAAACAGATGTGGGTACCTTAACATGGAGAGTACACACATATGCAAACACACACAAAGAGTCTGCTTTTATGGGCTGGGGAAAGAGAGTGAAGTGAGAGCTCAGGGTTGCAGAGAACATTTTAAAATCCTGCGTACACAGAGTTCATAGTTTCTTTTTTTTTTTTTTTCTTTGACAGGCAGAGGGGACAGTGAGAGAGAGAGACAGAGAGAAAGGTCTTCCTTTGCCGTTGGTTCACCCTCCAATGGCCGCCGTGACCGGCGCACCGTGCTGATCTGAAGCCAGGAGCCAGGCTCTTCTCCTTGTCTCCCATGGGGTGCAGGGCCCAAGAACTTGGGCCATCCTCCACTGCACTCCTGGGCCACAACAGAGGGCTGGCCTGGAAGAGGGGCAACCGGGACAGAATCCGGCGCCCCGACCAGGACTAGAACCGGGTATGCCGGCGCCGCAAGGTGGAGGATTAGCCTAGTGAGCCGTGGCGCAAGCGGATCCTTGCTTTTTCTTTTTCTTTTTTTTTTTTAAATACTAATACCTTTATTACAGCATAAAGCAGTATTTTAAACATTAGTTCATATTACAGTAAAAACATTTTATGTACAACTGTAGAGAAATCGCTGCACATAGCTCCAACCTAAAAATGGGTTATAATTTAAAAGTGAACTGAATTGTTTGATACATAAATTTAAAATATTTTTACTATAGAAAACAGTAAAAATGGTAACATTGTCCAGGCTAGCTCAACAAGCCCATTTAAACTAAACAGTAGCTGAATTATACATTTATAAATATGGTTTGAATTCTGGGATAAAGAAAAAATGTCAGCTTAATTTATCAAAATAGTTGTTCTTAAAATTAAGTTGCATGAAGCAAAAAATCCTCATGTTTGTCCCTCATAGTCTTGATTTATGCCTATTTTTCTTCTGACTACCCACAATCCACAGCAAAGTTCCAGGTTTTTCTTTCTAGGAGAGTTTTTGATCTGTTTGCTGTAAGCACCTATTCCTACCCAAATCATGAAATGTTTTGGTTATTATTAAATCATGCCCATATTGGGCAAAACCAGAATCTAATAAATTTTAACCCACAAGGCACATGTGGGCCATCGACACCTTACCCTAATTCCCCGTGGCTTCATGGGATGCCACGAATAAAAGTGATGAGACTGACAAGAGGGCCAGGGAATAAACATCCTTGCTTTTTAACATAGGTTTTAGTTCAGTTTATTCCTTTGGTTTCCCCCAGTGTACCAGATAAGAAAATGATCAGCTCCTGAAAGTTGGAGATTTATTTTTTCAATAATGAATGTGGATATGTTGTCAACAAAGTTAATTCTCTTACACTGATTTTTGCTACATCACTTTGGTCAATGTTTTTGATGAACACCTTTAACTGTACACAGACCAGAAATCGTATTGTCATTCAAATCTTTGGGAAAACAAGTTTTCCCAGGTTACGAGGCAGTGGCATTCAGAGGGACTCTGTACAAGTTTTAAATCCTAGCCACCACTTACTGTCATTAGGGAAAGTGCAGTCATAGTGCCCAAGTTAATATTCCCTGTAATTGTGGAGATGAGCTTTTTTTTTTTTTTTCCAAATGAGTTTTGAACAAGTTTTTCTGAAGTATTCTGTAGGCATTATTGCAACTGTTCCATAAATGTGTAAGAGCCTTAGGACTTTATCTTTCAATTATATATGATATGCAACGCTTGTTTCCAACACCTGCAGAGAAATTTCCCGGACACCAAAAGAAACTGTGCTTTCATCTTATTAAATTGGTGTGGCTTCAGTTTCACATTATCTTTCGTTGCTCAGCCCATAGTATTACAAGTTTATTGCTCCTCCTTGGCTAAAAGTTGAAACCTAAAGTCATTTTCTGCTTTATTGATTTGTAGGAGGAAAAACTGGAATTATCCTGGTCATTAGAGAGAGTACTTACAATTTTTTTGCCTTCTATTAACACAGTAGGAATATTTGTTTCAACGTTCTGCAGTATCACATTTCCTTTCTTTTCTCTGTAGATGAATTCTTTATCTAGAAGAAAGGAAATAAAAAAGAAACTTGAAACATCAAGGAAGTTACCTAGGCTTTTGATGGACACTTATGTAAAATGAGTTGACTGGTTCTGAAAGAGATCCGCTGCTTTTCATCAAAGCGCTCTTTAAAAGTGGGGAAATGTGTTCAACTCATCTTAACAAAGTCTCATGTGCAGCCTCCTTCTGAACTTTTCCTCCTATTTTATACACTCAAACAGAAAGTACAAGCACAAGCACATAGAATCTTTAGAACATGCTAGAACTTTCTTGCTCAGGACACATGGAATGGACACACAGTAGATTAAGAAACCAGACACCTTAAGGGATGCAGGGTAATTGGTAGTAAAGGGACCAGTTTCCTATGTCTGAAACTTTGGGGTGAAACTGTGTGCATAATGTTCACATCCGTATCCTGCAAAACTCATTTTCATGTTGTCTACAAGAGACTCTGGAAGGATTTAACTCTCATACTGCCATGAATACCTGGGCATCTATCTCGTATTGCCTGTGACTCTCTCTTTTGTATGCAATCAACCAAGATTTCAATTATCTCTTAGAAAATTAATAAGTCGTTGATGCTATGTACATATACTGTGAAGGAAAAGGTAGGCTTTCTTAAATACAGGATTGTTGATAGAGAGGTAGGGCACACAATGGGAAAAGAGAAATACTGTCTGGGCAAAGGCTCTAACACAGCCAGTTTGACAATAAGGGCATTTCACACTGTAACAGTTGACTGAATAGTGTTGTGCCAGTTGCATTAATTCAAAAGAAGAGTTGTGATTCAAGAATGTCTAGTTTTGGGGCTGGCACTGTGGCATACCAGGTAAAGCAGCCACCTGCAGTGCTGGCATCCCATATTGGTGTCGGTTCGAGTCCTGGCTGCTCCACTTCCGATCCAGCTCTCTGCTATAGCCTGGGAAAGCAGTAGAAGATGGCCCGAGTCCTTGGGCCCCTGCACCCATGTGGGAGACCCAGAAGAAGCTTCTGGCTTCTGGGTTTGGATTGGTGCAGCTCCAGCCATTGCAGCCATCTGGGGAGTGAACCAGAGATGGAAGACATCTCTCTCTCTCTCTCTCTCTCTCTGTTTCCCTCTCTCTCTGGCTCTCTGTAATTCTGAATTTCAAATAACAAATAAATAAATCTTAAAAAAAAGAACACCTATTTTTATAAGGGAAATTAAGTCTATCAATGCAGTAAAACTTTCGACATTACATGATTCTAGCCCAATTCAATTTATACATTATGTAAATTGCCTTCAAAAGTTCAGTGCTAAAGCTACTACTAATTGATACCTAGAAGAAATTGTTTCTATTTATTTTCCTGGTAATACTTTCATGTACAAATCAATGAGTCATGGTTTTCCCTCTCTTTCTTTCTTTCTTCCTTTCTTTCTCTCCCTTCCTTCCTTCCTTCCTTCCTTCCTTCCTTCCTTCCTTCCTTCCTTCCTCTCTCCCCCTTTTCCCCTCTCCCCCTCCCCTCTCTCCCCTCTCTCCTCTCTCCCTCTCCCCCTCTCCATGACTTTCTTCTAGGTAAACACACCAGGGTGCATTTATCTAATGAGCTATATCCATTAAAAGTAGTCACCATAGGCATCTATTCAACCATTTCAGTGACATTATGCTTATACAATAAATTTTAAAATTCCTTTATTTTTGGAAAGCACTTAAGAATTACCAATTTTTTTTTAAGTTGTATTTTATTTATTTGAAAGGCATAGTAACAGAAAGAGGTAGAGACAGAAAGAGAGATGTCTTCCATCTGCTGATTCACTCCCCAAATGGCTGAAACGACCCAGGCTGGGCCAGGCTGAAGCCAGGAGCCAGGAGCTTCCTCTGGGTCCTTGCCGGAGGGCAGGGGCTCAAGAATTTGAGCCATCCGCCACCGCTTTCCCAAGCTCACTAGCAGGGATCAGAGAGGAGCAGCCGGGACTCGAATTGGTGCCCATATGGGATGCTGGCACTGCAGGGAGGGGCTTTAACCCTCTGTACCACAGCGCTGACCCAAGAATTATCAGTTATTTTCATGCCTATGTTTCATGGAGAGTGGACAGTTTTGGAGAAGCATGGCTGGACAATGGGTATAACCTCATGGTCCTCAATGGGGTGGGGATTAGCAAGGTTTGTTTGTTTAGATTCTTTTCATGTCTTCAAGATAAGACCCTTTCCTGTGGGTGTAGAGAGGGCACCTCTGGACTGGTCTCCTGCCTACTTTGGAGACAAGTCAGAGAATTTATCATGGCCTGCTTCTGGGCGGGAAGCAGGAACCAGTCAGATGTCCCACTTTGTGTGTTGTGTCCCACTAAGGTGTTGGGGTAGCATGTCCTGAACCCCATCATTTAAACTTTGTTCCTTATACTGTTTTATATTATAACAAAGATAATAGGAAACTCATAAGAATTGAAGCCCGATTTGCAGACAGCCTCATTTTTCCCTAGCAGGGCTCACCAGGTCTGAGAAGCATTTGTACTCGCGTTCAACAGGTACGTATCATGTCCACTGACCTTCTCAAAGAACAAGGTTTTGGTATTATCCTTACTATTACTTTTGTATTCTGCTTCATAGAATTTCTTTTTGAAATAGAGTTTCTTTTTGATTCTCCCCTTGTATTGCTGTGGCTTTAATTTAATTTTTAAAAAGATTTCTTTATTTTTTTGAAAGTCAGAGTTACATATAGAAGGAGACACGGAGAGATCATCCCTCTGCTGGTTCACGCCCCAGATAGCTGCAAGGGCCAGGCCTGAGCCAGACTGAAGCCAGGAACCAGGAGCTTCCTCTGGGTGTCCCATAGCTTTTCCTAGAACATTAGCAGGGAGCTGCATTGGAAGTGGAGTAGCCAAAACACAAACCAGAGCCCACCATAAGGGATACCAGCATCACAGGCAGTGACTTTATCTGCTACGATGCAATGCCAGCCTCTAATTTTCTTTTCACACTGTTAGGAACCTAGGTGTTTGGTTGATAATTTCTAATCTTTGCAATAAAAATATTAAAGCTGAAAAATTCCCTTATGATGATATTAACTACATCTCTCTCTCTCTCTCTCTCTTTTTTTTTTTTTTTTTTTTTTTTTTGGACAGGCAGAGGGGACAGTGAGAGAGAGAAACAGAGAGAAAGGTCTTCCTTTGCCGTTGGTTCACCCTCCAATGGCTGCTGCAGCCGGCATGCTGTGGCCAGCGCACTGCGCTGATCCGATGGCAGGACCCAGGTACTTACCCTGGTCTCCCATGGGGTGCAGGGCCCAAGCAATTGGGCCATCCTCCAATGCACTCCCGGGCCACAGCAGAGAGCTGGCCTGGAAGAGGGGCAACTGGGACAGAATCTGGCGCCCTGACCCAGACTAGAACCCGGTGTGCTGGCGCCTCAAGGCGGAGGATTAGCCTTTTGAGCCACGGCGCCGGCCAGATATTAACTACATCTCACAAACTGATTTGCTGGATTATGTTACTCTTCAGTGTGAAATACTCAAAGTGATCCACAGATTCGCTGCAATCCATATAAAAATTCCAATGTCGGCCGGCGCCGCGGCTCAGTTTGAGACCCGGCTGCTCCACTTCCGATCTAGCTCTCTGCTGTGGCCTGGGAAAGCAGTGGAGGATGGCTCAAGTCCTTGGGCCCTTGCACCTGCGTGGGAGACCCAGAGGAAGCTCCTGGCTCCTGGCTTCAGATCAGCACAGCTCTGGCCGTTGTGACCATCTGGGGAGTGAACCAACAGATGGAAGACCTCTCTCTCTCTCTCTCTCTCTCTCTCTCTCTCTCTGCCTTTCCTCTCTCTCTGTTAATCTGACTTTTAAATAAATAAATATTTAAAAAATATAGACACATGAACCAATGGAACAGAATTGAAAGCCCAGAAATAAACTCACACGTTTACAGTCAGTTGATATTTGACAAAGGTATCAATAAGACACAGTGGAGAAGGGACAGTCTCTTCAATAAATGGCACTGGGAAAACTGGATATCCACATGCAGAGGAATGAAACTGTACTCTTAGTTTATATACAAAAATCAAGTCGAAATATACTATAGCCTTAATATAAAATCTGAAACTGTGAAAATACTGGAAAGAATAAAGAGAGGAAACGATTTATGACCATGGTACAGGCAATGATTCTTGTACATGACCCTGAAACTCAGCCAATCACAAAGAAAGCCAAAGAAAGTGACCTCAGATTAATTAAAAAGCTTCTGCAATGCAAAGGAAACAATGAACAAAGTGAAGAGAAAATCCAGAGACTGGGAGGAAGCAAATCATCTATCAATTAAAACTATTTCTAGTTTTTTTTCCACTGGATCAGGGGACATTCTTTTTTTTTTTTTTTTTTTTTTTTTTTTTTTTTTTTTTTTTTTTTTTACAGGCAGAGTGGACAGTGAGAGAGAGAGACAGAGAGAAAGGTCTTCCTTTGCCGTTGGTTCACCCTCCAATGGCCGCCGCGGTCGGCGCGCTGCGGCCGGCGCACCGCGCTGATCCGATGGCAGGAGCCAGGAGCCAGATGCTTTTCCTGGTCTCCCATGGGGTGCAGGGCCCAAGCACCTGGGCCATCCTCCACTGCACTCCCTGGTCACAGCAGAGAGCTGGCCTGGAAGAGGGGCAACCGGGACAGAATCCGGTGCCCCGACCGGGACTAGAACCCGGTGTGCCGGCGCCGCTAGGCGGAGGATTAGCCTAGTGAGCCGCGGCGCTGGCCCTCAGGGGACATTCTATACACAATTTCAGGTGTTTAAAATTCATTAAGAGAAGCTGGCATTATGACACAGTACATTAAGTTGCCACTTGCAATGCTGGCTCCTTATACTGGACTATACTGAACTGATTGGAGTTCTAGCCGCTCTGCGGGCAATCCAGTTTTCTGTTTATGTGCCTTGGAAGGCAGTGGAAGAAGGCCCATGGTCCTTGATACCATGTTGGAAACCCAGAGGATATTCCAGAATCTTTTGGCCTGGTGCATCCATGGATTTTGTGGCCATTTGGGGAGTAACCCAGTGATGGAAGCTCTCC